TGTGTAGGTAAAAGACAGAATTGCAAATGTTTATGTGATCAAGAATCAAGTTCAGTTGAGAGAGACAGAAAGAAAGTAAAGAACAAAACTCTAATTTTCAATACATGATCAATTGATTTGAATTAATACAATAAAAGATGGTGCTTACCAAAAGAATTGCTGAAATCATGAGTACAAAGAACTTCCAATAGTTCTTTCTGCCAATGCAATTATTAAGCCACTGCCAATCATGAAGAAATAAGTAATAATCATATTTTGTAAGAAATCCCAAAAAAATGAAAAGAGCAAAGTATGAATCATACCCTGCAATGGTGATCGAAGTGATCGACACATTTGTCGCAAACTCTACAGTGCTTACTATGCCTCCTAACCTAAAAAATTATCATCTCTCGGAGTCAAAACCATGCTGGTGAGATGGTAAAACTATTTCCTTTCGAGAACTTGAAACCTTTTTTTCATAAGGCATAAATCATGGTAAACTTATATGTTAATTTCAGTCTTTCATGGCCCATCATAGTTCATGGAGTGCAAATGCATTTTGTAAAGAGTGATCAATGTGCCTTTTAAAGCTATGGAAGATTTACATATGTATAACTCAATTCTCATGTATTTACATATCTAACACCCAAACTTCAATTTGCAATAAATAAAGAATGAGAATATTTATAAAAAATATATAAAAAATATACTATTCTTTCTCTTTTTCCTCTAACTGATTATCTTAGTGATATACGATATAACGAAAAATTGGAACAAGCAAGATACAACTTGAAACATGTAACTAACGGACATATTCTCTTGATGAATATAACATAAAATTGAAGGGGCATTTGCATACATGCCACATAGTTCTTATGAATATACATATCTAAAACCTAAAGTTTCATATTCACATTTCTTAGCAATACCATAACAACTTCAGCAATTATTAATTCCAGTGGTCCCCAAGAGAGGAGCTCGCCTATATAGTAACTGTTGTCGGTTTGTTAGATTATTGTCTCCAGAACTTTCTCTTATATACTATCAATACTATGCATTATATTGGGCAATGAAGAAATATTGCCAAAGGGCTTTACTTCGTGAGCTTCATTCACTGTTTTTCTTCACTTTTTTTTTTTCCTGTTTCCTTTCTGTTTCTGTATGCATCAATTCACATCCATCTTCATGCTATCAGAGCCATCGACTGGGAAGAGTGCCGCTTCTTCCAATCTCTAAGCAGTCACCTGGTACCGATTCTCTCACAGCTTTGTCCCACCTCCGGTAAATCATCTCTTGCTCATTGCAGATGGATGAACCAATGGTTGTTGATTCCCAATCATCTTCCTTGCTCCATTTTTCATCAATATCCTACCCTCACTTTAAAATTCCCAAACATCTTCCTTACTCCTTTTCCTTACAACGGAAAAATATCCAACCTGAAAGGCTCAAGTGCTGAAAACATTTGAGGCAAATTGCCTCTCTGCTTTTCTCGATGGAAGTTGCAACTGCCCACCCCAATTCCAAAATGAAAATGATACTGCAGTGGAGAACCCTCAATTTCAACCATGGAAGCTAATTGATCATGATTTAACTGCTCTTCTCTACTCAATTATCAGCCCAGATGTTCTTACATATAACCTCCATCTCCCATCGACAACAACTATATGAAACGCTTTGGAGCGATGAATACAACCTACCAATCGGTCGAGGGTAATACTGTTGAAAAATGAACTGCATCATATCACGATGAAGAATAGTACAATACGGCTATATCTCTCTAGCATCCGGAATTTGGTGGATCAAATCATGAGGATGTTATCCTATACATTCTCAATCAGCTACCTCCAACATACAATTCATTCAAGACTTCAACTCGCACCATGCTTCAACCTATAGCACTTGAGGATCTTTATTCATTACTATGAAGCAAGGAAATTAATCTACAAACAGAAAATGCTAAACATGCATCCTCCATACAAACATAAATGGCTCTAACAGCTAATAGAGGGTGTGATCAATCTCAAAGCAGAGGTAGAGACCAACAGCAATTGACTAAGGGTCTGCATTCTATAAATAAAAAAATAAGGCTCAGTTATATGACAAATTTACAATAAATCTGGACATTCAGCATCTATCTGTTGGCACCTAACAAACTTGAAATATCAACGCACTGCTTAGCCTCAAGCTCTTACAGATACCTCCAAGGAGTGGATCCTTGATACTGGTGCGACGACATACTTCACATCAGATGTAAATCACTTACAAACTTACTACGGGGCTGAACAAGTTACAGCTGGCAATGGGCAAGTCATTCCGATTCACTACAAGGGCGATGGCATCCTGCCTAATCCCACCCGTAAGCTCAAACTATCTCAAAATTAACAACATCGTTGTCTCATTTGACTCCTTTGGCTTTTCTATCTTTGATCCACATACTCACAAAATGATCCACCAGGGACCCAGTTCTAATGGTATCTACTCCATCCCATCCTCCAACATCACACCACAAGCATTGGCTACTTCCATGTCCAAAGCACACCACTCCAAGTTATGGCATAGAAGATTGGATCATCCTCATCACAACCATCTCCAAAAGACAATCTCTATATATTCCGCCTATTCTTGCTTTTTGTAGTATTTGCAATATTACCAAAAGCCACAAACAACCCTTTGTATCGTTTACTAGACGAAGATACAAATTATTAGAGCTTATACATAGCAATGTATGGATTCCATCACCAATTTCATCTTATCAAAGTTATACATATTATGCTACATTTGTGGATTTCTCGCTTCTGTGGATTCCTCTGGCTTTTCTATCTTTGATCCACATTCTCACAAAATGATCCACCAGTGACCCAGTTCTAATGTTATCTACTCCATCCCATCTTCCAACATCACACCACAAGCATTGGCTACTTCCATGTCCAAAGCACATCACTCCAAGTTATGGCATAGAAGATTGGATCATCCTCATCACAACCATCTCGAAAAGACAATCTCTATATATTCCGTCTATTCTTGTTTTTTGTAGTATTTGCAATATTACCAAAAGCCACAAACAACCCTTTGTATCGTTTACTAGACGAAGATACAAATTATTAGAGCTTATACATAGCAATGTATGGAGTCCATCACCAATTCCATCTTATCAAGGTTATACATTTTATGCTACATTTGTAGATTTCTCGCTTCTCTTGGATATTTTTTATGCATTCAAAATCTCAAATACCAATGATCACTCAAAATTTTATTAATCTGCTACAAAATCAATTCAATACCAACATAAAAATACTTCGCTCTTATGAGAGAGTTGAATATAACAATTATAATCTAAACCAATTCCTCCTCACAAAAGGCATTCTTCATCAATATTCTTGCCCTTACACACCCGAACTGAACGGGGTGGTGGAACGCAAGCATCGACGCCTTATGGAAATCACACTGCTCTACTTCATCAAGCTCATGTGATGTCTCATATAAATTCTGGTCTGATTCTCTCCTAACGGATGTTTAGCTCATCAATAAGATGCCTACTAGAACCACAAACTAAATATCCCCATATGAGCATTTACATAAATCTCCACCAACACACACTCATACTTGGGTTTTTGGAAATGCTTGCTTCCTAGGAGAAAACCTCAAACCAAACACAAATTTGCACCAAGGTCCATCCAATGCATTTTTCTTGGATGCTCTCTACAACACAAAGGTTATAAATGCTACAATCCTACCAATCATAAAATAATCATATCTCGGCACATGGTTTTTGATGAGAATACCTTTCCCTTTCTCCAAAATTCAGCTTCAATATCCCAAAATAATTCTTCCACTCCACCTCACATTCCATCCTCTTTTCTACAACCAAGAACTCTCCTCCAACCAGCGGCTACAGCTCCTTCCACCGTCCCTATGTCCTCTCCCATTACCCCTGATGTACCAACACATTCTCTCATGCTCTCACCTACTCCACTAACTCCTCCTCAATCTCCACCTCATCATCCCAAGATAACTAGAACTAAAACAAATAATCTGAAACATATTCATAAATTAAATCTCCTACACTACACTCAACAACCACGCGACCAAACATGCTTCACCCAAGCATCCAAAGTACCTCAATGGCGACACTCTATGGCCGAAGAAATCAATGCACTTCAACGACAAGGGACTTGGACCTTAGTTCCAGCTCCCACAAATCAACCCATAACATGTTTCTAGATGGACCTGCACAAAAAAATTGAACTCACTTGGTGAAATCATACGGTATAAAGCCTGTCTTGTCGCTCAAGGTCACACAAGAATTTGGGGGAAATTATAATGAAACCTTTAGCCCGGTTGCCAAGTTCCCTACAATTCGCATTCTTATTATAGTGGCACTTCATCACGAGTGGCCTATCCTTCAATTTGACATTTCCAACATGTTTCGACACAGCACACTCAATGAGACAATTTACATGAAACAACCTCCGGGGTTTCAAGATCCGCATTTTCCAAACCACCTATGCCTTCTCCAAAAATTTCTATAAGGCCTAAAGCAAGCTCCAAGATAATTGTTTATCACTTACTCTGATTTTTTTTCGTAATAATGGATTTATATTCAGCAAGGCGGATCTCTCACTCCACATATATCATTGGAATAAAACTCAAATGTTTGTTCTCATCTATGTAGATGATATATTTATCACGGGAAATGATTCAGTGCAATCTCCAACCTTACCAATAATATGGCTGCCATATTACAGCTCAAGCGCCTCAGTATCATTGGATGTTTTCTTGGCATTCAGGTTCAGAAATTGCTTGATACATACCATCTCAATCAACAGAGATACACATTGCAAATCCTTTCCAATGCAGACTTTGAGGATTGCACACCGATTAGCACACCAATGTGGTAAGCAACTTGGCCTCCTCGGAATCAGGTACATCATTGCATAACCCCACTCTCTATCGACAGGATCTCTCCAAAACCTTCGGTGACTCGTCCGGATATAGCCTATGCGGTTAACTAGTTATGTCAGCAAATGCACTCTCCTACCACAGCTCACTACAAAGCTCTTACTCATCTTCTCAAACACCTAAAAGGCACAAGTCATTTCGGGATAGAAGTTCGACTGGGAGACCTTCAATTACATTCCTATGATGACGTCGATTGAGTTGACCAACTAAATCGGAAATCTAGCATTGGAGTGTGTTCGTTCCTTGAAGACACAATAGAATCATGGACAATCAAGAAACAATCCACGGTGGCGTGTTCATCAATAGTAGCGGAGTATCGAGCTTTAACTAGAACAACTACAGATATGATATGGTTTCTCAAGCTCATACAAGAATTTGGTATTGAAAAGATGCAGCTAACGCCACTTTATTGTGACTATCTCTGCACCTCCCTAGCAAATAATCCGAACTTCCAAGCTAGTAAGAAACACACATAGATCGACTATTATTTTATTCATCATCATTCCCAACACCCAAGGATTGAATTCATTCTCCCAGAATCAACCAACCCCAAGTTGAGAGCTCTTCCAAACGCAAGTTCCAACAAATTTGCACCAAGCAGACAGTTCTTCCACGACCCATCTTCAGCTTATCAGGAGGTCATAACAATATCATAACAACTTCAGCAATTATTAATTCCAGTTGTCCCCAATAGAGAAGCTCATCTATATCCTAACTGTTGTCGATTTGTTAGGATATTGTCTCCAGAACTTTCTCTTATATACTATAAATACTTACTGCTATGCATTGTATTGGGTAATGAAGAAATATTGCTAAAGGGCTTTACTTCATAAACTTCATTCACCATTTTTCCTCACTGTTTTTTGTTTCCTGATTCCATTCTGTTTATGTTTTTGTACACATCAATTCACATCCATCTTCAACATTTATAACACTCGAACTTTTAACACCACATCAAAAATACCTCTATCATATTTAAAATAAAATAGACATTTTCTTTAATAGATTTATGACACAAAACTATTATAAATGTAAATATCAAACTTAAGATGTTAGAAATATAAATAAATAAGAATTGTGTGGTATCTGTGTAAAATTCCCAATATTAAAATAGCTATAAATCAACATTACAATTTCAAATAGAACAGTACCACTCAAAATGCCTGAGCATACCTCAACTTCACAAAGGCAACAATAAAACATGCCATCCTCGCTCGTTTTCTGTTCAGAAGATTGTCAAGAATAATCAACAAAAACCACTTACAAATGAAAAACAAAAATAGCCAAATAAAACCGGTAAGAAACATTAAACCTTCTCAATTCCTTGAGATCTGTTGTCGCCTGTAGCTTCGATCTTGATTTCATCATCCAATAACTTATTCGAAGTTGTCACAACTTGTGCTTCTTCTCTGCAATCCTTAAAGTTACAACTCTTTCTATTGCCCTTCGCCATAAGATATTTCTTAGACTTGAAAACCCCCGGGTCTCCAGGATTTGTCGCAGCACACCAAACATATAAACAGAACACGGATGTAGCCTGCAAGGAATTCCAATAAGATTAACTCTCAACGTAATTTGAGAAAAAAATGTTCCTCATGTTTATTACATCTAGCATCAATGCTTGATTTGTCAGAGCACACCAAACGTATCATACTCGGATAACTTACTCCATGTATGATTATTTTATATATACTAGGAAAATTTACATACGAAGCACACAATTCTCATGTATTTACATATCTCACACCTAAACTTTCAAATTTACATACATAGCACTTTGGTTCTTTAAAAACTATGCATGAAAATGTGTATTTCACTTTTAAAAAGTGATAACAATGCTATTTTTGATGAGGCATTAAATATTTGTGTGCCAAGTCTGTAAATATGAAAGTTTATGTGTGAGATATGTAAATACACAAGAATTGTCTGCTATAAATGTAAATGCCCCTGAATCCTAATGAAAACTGTTTTTTTTTCAGCATATGACTCATCCTCAATTTTAAAATTAAGAAGCTATTTGGTATCCTATTTTAGGATAAATTTCAGCAAGACTTTTAAATCATGGCAACATAAATTTTATGGACTTTAAACGCTACTATTTTGGTAAATCACATTTCAGTCCCATCATTGGTCAAATTCAATATTTGTTAAATCCCAATGATTGCAAGATTTAACAAATTTAAATATTTCTTCTCAAACGAATCTTGAATCTTAAAACAGATTGGGCAATAGCCCACTTTGTGCAGTAGTTAGGTGCTTTGTCTTCAGCCATACAGTCTTATGTCCAAGATTGTATGAGACATATAAAAGGATTTAATAATACTTATGCCAATGAATCTTGACACAAATAACTAAATAGTTTATCCAAATTTAGGAGGTTGTTTGGTGGCATGAATTTATAAGGATTTAGCCAAAAAATTAACTTAAATACAGCCAAACATAAAAAAAGTGAAATTCAAATCACGTGCTCTGTTAAATCGAATATTCTCTCCTTCTATCTATTTTTCGACGTAACCGGATTTGCTAAATCCTATTTACCATAAATCCAGGAAGCATCCAAACACCTCCTTAAAAAGGATTTAATAATAGTTATGCCAAACAAGTTTTAGGCTTAAATCCTCTCAAGATATATACTAAATCAAACTTGTAGCCAAATAGCTCCTAAATTACTCCCAAAATCCTAACTCAAATTCATCATCACCATCATTAATCTTATTGCAACTGCTTGAAGTAGGTTTTATGGACTCTAACCTTCATTCATCCATACTAAATGTTGCCTATAGCATTAAAGTTGTTCTTCAACTGCTCCAATTTTACATTAGCTATAACCCTAGCTCTAGAGATGCACATAAGGCCGACCAATGCCGCAACCCTAACCCTAAATCCCTCATAGACAGCTTAAGCAAAACAGAAAGAAGGCAAGTAAAGCAGTATCAAATACAAACAACAATAGTACGCAAACATACCAAAGAAGTGTAGATCCCCATCACCACATACTCAAGCACCTTCCTGCAAACAAAAGGCATAAAAAAGACATAAAAAGCGAACCCCAATGCCAGGAAAACAGCAATGGCGACAACCTGAACAAAAATGTCATTAAAAAATAATTAATATCCTGAGAAAGAAAAGTAACCAAAACAGAACTGAATAAAGCATGCCTGAAGAGGATGGTAAGGGAGCTGCCACCCATGTTTCCTCATTCCAGCCTGAGTTGTGTGCCCAACACCCGAGAAGTGCAATGGTGTGCTAGAAAAGGCAAAAGATCCCAAATTTAGGGTCGGGAAAGCAGAGGGGGAGATAGATTCGTCTTCATCTGTGAGTACTCCTTTCTCCCCCTAATTCTCATCTGAAAATACTGAAGGGGAAGGTGCGTAGGTGAAGAGAGGGAAGAAAAAAAAGGAGGGATTTTTGGGATTTAAGAGGAAAACGGGAGAAAATGGGCCCCCTCTGTTCACATGATGCGGCGAGCTTGTGGTCCATGGGGAAAAGTGAAGAGCTGTTGTTTTTTTTTTTGTTGGTTAGTGTGTTTTTTTAAAGGGGCAGCTGTGTATTGCATGGGGAAAGGAAAAATGAAGTCTCGTAATAAATGAATCAGACTTTTTCAGTGACATCCTCTGGATTCGGTGCTAGATGCTTTATTAATTTATCCCTGTGAATGTATGTCTGAATGCTGATTTACGTATTTATTGAATGTTATGATATATTCATCACAATGGTTTTTTGTATGTATAACGCTCAGAGCATTCTTATTTATATATTTGACATTAAAATATTTATAAAAATAACAATTTTGTCGAAAAGAAAAACATATTCCGACGAATTGCTGGAGCTCATAAAGGGTGGGAGAGAGATTTTCTTTGAAGTTGTGTTCTAAATCATGCTCATCTTCGGGAGAGAAATCCTGCTGCCAAACAGCCCCTTAGGCCAGTGAAGGTGCACAGGCGAGAAATTTGGCAGCTTTGCCAATTGCATCTTCGATGTCTCCGGCTCGCAACTCTCTGTCCTCGTGAGCTCCGACAGTTCATCGAAATTGAACAGTGGCAGAACAGTGGAGCTATTAGCGATATTATTGTTTTTTTTATGGAAAATGTGATTTTTGAGAAAATTTAGTGTTTTGGGTGCTTTAACGATAGATCTGGATGAATAAAAGACGAAAATAATTTGGACTACCCTCTTTAAAATAAGACTTTGCTTCAAAAAAATAAGAGACTTGGGGCTTCATGCATGACAAAGTAATTTCGACTCAATGGTTGAACAGAGTACCGGAATCCACCACTCTCCAAATGTGCAAACACCCTTGAACGCCCACCAACCTCTCCCTCTCACCGGCCAAACACCTCCTCTAACAGGCAGATCACTATGGTTGGCCACCACCAAGCAGCCGGCCGGCCACAACCGAGCAATCGACCAATCACCTATGGTTGCCCATCTCCTTTAATCGACCGGCCACCGCCATACTCTCCTGCTAGCCACTATGAACAAAAGAAGAAAATAACCCATATGTAATATTGTATTATGTCTTTTTTATCTTCTATGAAATGGGAAATCATTACATGTATTAAAAATCCTTGGGCACTTCTCTCTCAACCCCTTAAGTACGGAGAACTCTCTTCCTCCTCTTATAATCATCATATTTAGTGAAATAAAATAGGCCAAAGATCCGTGAATACTTCTCGTTGCTCATCTAGGGTAAATTTGTCTCTCTTCATTGTTGTCCCCCTCGGTCCCTATCGTTGGACATGATCTACATGACAAATTTGTATTCATATAAATAAGTTTAGAAGGTATATTAAGAGATTATAAAGTTAGAATATTAACCTAATCACATGTGCAATAATAGATATTGTTAAATAAATAATATATGATGGTGAGAGCTGACAACGACTTTATATATGTTTAAAAATACAAGTATTCAATACTGCTGCTAGAAGATTTAATTCCTCAGCAACGGCACAAAAAACTTAATAACGGTTATAGATTCGATAAAGATGTATATATAAAATATTCAATAATGGTA